CTGTCCGCCCTGAACGCACAGGTGGAAAAGTGGCTGACTCCGCAGTGACTGGATATCGGCAAAGTGGTTTGTGACAACGGAACAAATTTGCTAGCGGCATTGAAGTTGGGCAAGTTGTCACATGGGCCGTGCATGGCACATGTGTGTAATCTGATCGTACAACGCTTTGTGCATAAGTACACAGGCTTACAGGACGCCCTGAAGCAGGCCAGGAAGGTGTGTGGCCATTTCAGGCGTTCCTACACGGCCATGGCTCACTTTGCCAATATCCAGCGGCGAAACAACATGCCAGTGAGGCGCTTGATTTGCGACAGCCCGACACGTTGGAATTCAACACTCCTAATGTTCGACCACCTGCTCCAACAAGAAAAAGCCGTTAATGAATATTTGTATGACCGGGGTGCTAGGACAGCCTCTGGGGAGCTGGGAAATTTTTTGCCACGTTACTGGACGCTCATGCGCAATGCCTGTGGGCTCATGTCGTCCTTTTGAGGAGGTGACAAATTTAGTCAGTCAGCACCGAAGGCACCATCAGCGACATCCATACCATTGTTTTCTTCCTGGGCGTGCCTGCGAAGAGTGCTGGATCAGGCCGTAAAGATGGCGTGAAGAGGGAAGAGAGGAAGAGTTGGCCGTTACCATCACCTCCAGAAACAAGCGCATCCAGCGTAAACGCACTGGACCCTGCGTGGCAGCTGGAAGAGGATTGGTAGGGGAAGGAGGGGAGTCAGAGGGAATGTGGCTTTGAGGGAGGAGGAAGAGGAGGGAGCAAGACCAACCACAACAGGCATCCCAGGGTTATACGTTGTCACCTATCTGGTACACCTGTGAATTGTTATGCGTGGCTGGGGGAAGAAAATACCTTCGTGTTGACATCAGTGAGGGGAGGAGGAGCGGGAAATGAGTAGCTCGGCATCCAACCTTGTGCAAATGGGGTCTTTCATGCTGTTGTGCCTGTTGAGGGACCCTCGTATAAAAAGGCTGAAGGAGAACAACCTGTACTGGGTGTCCACGCTACTAGACCCCCGGTATAAGCAGAAAGTGGCGGAAATGTTACCGAATTACAACAAGTATGAAAGGATGCAGCATTTGCAAAATAAATTGAAAGGTATGCTTTACACAGCGTATAAGGGTGATGTCACAGCACAACGGGAATCTAACAGGGGGAGAGGTGGAAGTCATCCTCCTCCTCCCATGACCACGCCGGCAAGGACAGGACGCTTTAGAGACGTGTTGTTGATGGAGGACATGCGGACCTTTTTTAAATTCCATACATGCATACCCAGCCCGCCGGGATCCACCCTCAGAAGGCGACTTCGACGACAGTTAGCAGACTACCTCACCTTAACTGCAGATATCGACACCGAGGAGCGATGAACCCATGACTACTGGGTGTGCAGGCTTGACCTGTGGCCTGAGCTATCCCAATTTGCGATAGAACTTCTGGCCTGCCCCGCTTCAAGTGTCCTGTCAGAAAGGACCTTCAGTGCAGCAGGAGGTATTGTCACTGGGAAGAGAAGTCGCCTAGGTCAAAAAAGTCTAGATTACCTCACCTTTATTAAGATGAATGAGGGATGGATCCCGAAGGGACTGACACTGGGCGATACATTAGATTTAAAAAGGCCTGATGAGATGAGCTGCCTTGGGCTAAAAATGGTCCACACGCTGCTGTATTTTAGCTCTGAATGCCTGTTGACTTGCGTGACTGATCAGCCACCAACTAGGTTTCAAGCCGCCATGTTTTAGGGCACTTTCTGCCTGTGAAACAAACATCAATTATAGATTGAATAGCAGTTAGTTGTCTCAAAGCTGGTGTGTGTCAGGCCTACAGTGGGATAAGCTGTGTCCAGTGCCACCACTCACTCACTGGTGTCACAATAGCTTGGATTTAAAAACAAAATTTTTTTTTCACTGTTATAGATTGAATAGCAGTTAGTTATCTTCAAGCAGGTGTGTCAGCCCTACAGCGTGTACTCTGCCAGTACGCTGCCACCTCTTCTACTCCTCCTACTCCATCCTCTTCCATAACCTCCTCGGCTTAGTCCTCTTCTGCTGCTGCGTCTTGCTCCACATCAACGGATAGGGGACGTAACAGTGATTAAACTTGATAACAATAGTACTAAACACACCACTCCTATCTGGTGGCACATTAGATTGCACGCGCAGTGCCCCAAATTTGTTGTGATCTGTGAGTAAGGTAAACGGCTGTCATACAAGTAGGTTGCAGCTTTTTGAGGGCCCACACCACCGCTATGCACTCCTTTTCAATGGCAGTGAATATACTTCACTGTGCAAAAGTTTACGGCTTAGATAAGCCCCGGGCTGCTCGCCACCATCTGCTCCGACTTGGCTCAGTACTGCTCCCAATCCAAGCATAGAAGCGTCTGTATGGACGGGAAAGTGTTTAGTTGGA